AGCTTTGGATGGCATATGTAGCCTCCAGGTCCTGGGCTGCACAAGTTCTGTGGGTGAAAACCTATCTACAGCCTCCTTGTTGCAGGGCACACCAGTACTCCCAGGAGGCTCCCAGTCCATCAGTTAAAATGCTGGTGGACATCAAAACTGCAAGGCCCCCTTTCTTATCACTGGACTTTTGCTGACTCTTAAGAACATGGGCTGAATGTCATGATGTAGGCCTCAGAGGTGCCCAGTATTTCCACTGAACTAAAATATCCTATACCTTGTAGTTTTCAGTCTGATCAAATTGAGTAACAAGTCAGTCTGTTGGTTGAAGTGAATTATAATCACAATTTCTGTGATCCTCAAACAGTTTAACCATTCCTACAGAACTTCTGCAAGTTACCTGGGCATCTGAGATGCCTTTGTAGACCGAATTCCTTGTCATAAAGGTCGTTCTGGACAGTCAGTGCAGATCAGGATGATGACTTGGGAAGACATCACTACCATGTTTGTGCTGATGATACAATACATAAAGCAGTCAAGTTAGCACCTTTTGAAAAGTTTTAGGATTCCATTTAAAACACAGTTAAGGGAGGGAGAAATGCCAAGTAAGGTACTGTTGTAACCAGTGTTAAAAAAAGCAGCACTTACTGCACTTACTGCTTTGAAGATGAAAGACTTTCAAGAATGAGCACTTAATTGCCTAAAGACTATTGCAGAACCCATTGTTAATGTACCTAATTTGCATAAAATCTTTTTTTCCAACTAACTGTTGCAGAACACACCTAAAACAGGGAAGCACAGTCCTCCATCAAAGCTCAGCTTCCCAAGCCAGCACTGCAGTTATGGTGCATATTTGTAATGTGATTTTCTGGTCTCAAATGCCATTAGGCACATATATACCATGCAGGGTGTGGTATATATTTTAGTAATATCTTTTAAAGAGTTATTAATGAGCAGAGTTTCTCTCAGGAAGCCGTGACAGTGGCTCTAGGAATTAATCCACCTGCAAGATCCCAAGATGCCTTTTCTTTATAGTATGTGCTAATTCAGCTTCACTCAGAGGTTGCTTCTTTGGAGTCAGTCTCCGGAGTGTCTTGTGGATCAGATTCTCTGTATGATAATCTTCCTGCACATTTCCTCCAGGCTCTGTGCATTGTGCTGGTTTCTCTGTTTCCTAGCAGTTGGAGATTTGGCAAGCCATATTTCTTCACCACTTATAGGTGATGGGTCCTTGGAAAGCAATGCCATGTGGTAGACACAGAATGAGAGGAAGTTGTGGCTTTCTACTCTGCTGAGACCAGCACTTCCTAGCAGAAAGATTTATCAAAGCTGCCTTTCCAGCAACAATGGCAGGCAGTGAGGGGTCTGAGGAGGGCAATGCCATGACTGGGTAATGGGCTCTTATGGTCAACTCTTCAGCTCACAAAGTGGTCTTGGCAGGTGAATCCTTCAGAGAGGGGTAAAAAATGGGTCTGAGGGCTGCTGTCTTGGCACCCGAGAGAATAAAAGGATTTGTGGCTGCGAGGACACCTTGCAGAAAACACCACAGTCACAGCTGGAGAAGCTGACAGGGTAGGTGTTCTTGCAAGGACATGCAGTTACTGAGCCCTGAAAAATCTCAGTCTAAGAGCTCCTGCAAATGATAAAGGGTTTGATATCTCCCCCAGTGCTGCCTGGGCCGAGCTGTGGGCTGGGGACTACCCTGAGCCTGTGGGTCACCACAGGGAACATGTGCAGAAAGGGTTGCCTTTCTGGGACAGTGGGAATGGTGCTCTCTAGTGTGGCCACAGCAGTGCTCAGCACAAGTCTCTTGTGTCAGCATGGTCATACAGGCAAAACTATTTCATGGGGGCAGCTGGTCTGAGTGGCAGAAGAGTAGGATGTCCAGGTAAAAATTTAGTTTTGTTTGTAACTACTCAGTCCATATTAAAAGTGCCTTATCAATATATCATTAATTAGTAGTGCTAGCATAGTTTATTACTCTTATAATATTATACTAGTCGTTATACTCTAATTATGTATTTGTTCTTTTCTTAAAAACTTTTAATGGTGCAAAATGGCAACTACTGTAAAGCTGTTAGACCAGCTAATCATCCTTACTGTTTAAACCTCCATGTTATTTGAACTTCCTCATTCCTCAGTCTTCTCTGAAGTAAGCAAGCCCCAGGAGATACTTTGGCAAACAAGGTGAGAAATGTGGTTTTGTCCCCCTGTGTGCCAGTAAGTAAAAGGGATCAGTCCCAGAGGTACCAGTCGGGTATGTTTGATTGGCACAGTGTGATCTTTAGGCAGGGCAGGGAAATATCAATGCTATTTTCTCTCTAAGCCTCAGATTGCCACTGGTCTGTTTATTCAGAAATCAGGTGGCAAAAACATTAGAGGATATGAAATCTTAGGCCCCCTGCAGAATACCCAGCCATGGTGGATCCCACTGCAAGCACATTTGACCCCTGATCATCCTCACTATGTTTCGGTCTAGAGTTTTAATTGGCATTGTTTGAATAAAAGGTATCCCAGACTACAAAATTTAATGTTTTTTAAATCAAGGGTTTTTTAGGAGCTGAAATGTAGAGAAAGGAAATTTTATCTTGGTTGTGGTTTGGTAAAGGATCTGAAGCAACTTTTTAGAGTGGCACTTTCACAAAAGCATTTTAAACCAAAGTTCATACTCCAAATTTGTAAAACTGCAGTGTTGGCATGCACCATTGGCATTCACTCTAACAGACTGAAATTAAAGATACACATCTCTGATTTTCTCCTCACACTTTTAATTCCACTGTACTTTTAACGGGATTTTGTACACAAACTCCTCAGTGGCACAGCTCATTATTTGCTTTGCCCCCACCCCTTACCTTTAGAAAAGAGCAGAAGTAAGAATTTGGGAGAAGAATAACTTATTTTATGATATAACCACAAGAATTGGGAGGATGGAAAGGAGAGAGTATTTTAGATTAAGGCTTGATTGCTGAAATTATTTTAACTGTGTTTTAATTGGTAAGCTGTTGAGTTGTTATCATCAATGAGGAACTCATCAACAAGCAGTATCGAAAGCAGTAAACATTTACATGGAGAAACCAAGCTCAAGCTCTGTAACAATCATCCATAATAGAGTGTAGAGTTAAAACTAAATGACTGGATTACAAGAATACATTGTACAAGGAATATCAAGGGTGGAGTTTGGAATTAATAGTTACTGTTTTCTTCTGTTTTTCTCTCTGAATAAATTATGGGGGCAGGGCAGGAGACATTTGCACAGCCTCCAACTGCGCCTACAGACACAGGATGTACAGGTGGATCTCGAGGGCTTGCTTTGCTGTCAGTCCCTGATCATGGATTTTGAAGGTCCTGTGCAGCTCATAGACCTCTCATCTAATGATGGCACATTTATAGAAGACCACATGTAAAACATCTCTGCATTCCCTTGATGCTGATTTATACCATTTAAAGGGTGGAACAAGTTGTTAAAAGATGAAGAAATTGAAATCTCCCCTAACTGCTGTATTATCCACCTGACATTCTCCAAATGCTAGTCATTAATTACTAAAGCCTTGAAAATCAGAGCAGATATCCAATTCAATTATGTTACATCTCTCAGCAAGAGCATTTCCATTATCTTACCATTTCCCATTCAAACCATTCTTCTTTGCAGTTTTTAAAAGCTTAGACCCCACTGTTTCTTCCCAGTTGAACCTGTAATCCACACAAAGATATTTCTACTCCATGTCCTTCCTATCTGCATGCAGGTGAAAGTCAGTATGGATTTACATTGTAATTGTTGCAAACTTAAAAATCTGACCCTCCAGCATACCCCAGAACTACATGATGGCAGAATGTGGCCAGTGTATGCCATAACTTTCCTTTCCAATTAGTGATCAAGTACTTGGGAAAGAACTGAACCTGTATTAGGACTTAGACTGCCCTTTCAATCCTTACACCTCGAGGTCTTCCTGTGGAGTGGGCAGAAGAGCTCACAGTCAGTCTTACCGAGCCCTAGAGCTAAGCTCTCAACTGAAATAATTCCCTTTAGATGCCAGCAAAAACTTGGCCCCATGGAGGCAAGGCAGGGTATGTTTCTGGAGTCACCACAAATGCTGGTCTTAAGTGAGCTGTATATTCAGAAATTATGGGGTTTATTTCCTGGCACATTTGTTCTTTGCTTATGTATATTTTCATGCCTGCCAGCACTCTGAAATGTAGACATTGAGTGTTGGGGACAGGCTGGATGCAGTTTTTCATGCTGCTGACATTAATTGGATGAACAGGCCTTCTCAGAAGGGGCAGTGTAAGAAATGTGTATGAGAAAATAACAAAATAAGGAGTTTCACAGCTAAATAAAGACAAGTGGCTGAAAATGGTTTTTACAACTTTGGCTTTCATATGATTCATTTGGGAATCTAAAACAGTTTTGCACAACTAACAAATTAAGATTCACAACACCTTTCTGAACATAATTGTTTCTGTCTTGCAGATGGAGGAACAGAGATATTGATGCTATCATTTAAAAATATGTCCTCTGTTTTCAGGTCCCCAGATTGAGATGCATTGAAACCTAATTCTCAGAAGCATTAAATACCTCCATTTATATTCATTCATTTGGCATTGTTTGTGCTTAGTCTCTGAAAACCAGATGCAGTGCCTTCCAAATAGAATGGTCAAAATAACTGAAGTGATATGGCAGAGATCACAGAGCAACTGCAGGGCTAGACTGGAGCTGGGACCTGTGTCCCTCTATGGTACATTTCTTTTTTACTCACTGAGTATCTGCCATGGATTCTTGAACAAAAGGGAAAGCACATTCTAGTTAGTCAGTTTTCCTCTGCCCTCTCGAACATTATAGAGATGATACTGGTTGGGTTATTGATCAATTTTATAGTTACTTTACCTTGTCTTTCTAACCAGTAAGAATTGTCTTCAGGTGTCTGAAATTAAGTTTCTTATTGTAGAATTGAAATGAAAATATACAGAACCATTTGTATCACCTGGTTTCCCCCATTGTTTTGTTTTTTTTCCAGCACACAACAGTTTTGCCCTTCGTATTAATCGAGATGAGAACAACACATCATCAGTATCCCAGCAGGAGCTGTGGACTGGCTGCAGTGTGCACCTTCGCTGTTGGCTATATTTTATGGTAAGGGCTGTGCATGCTGTGTTTTCACATTGTATTGGGCGTTTTATACTGCTAAATTTGGGCACATATTTCATTATGGATATAATCGCTAACAGATTCACGCTGCATGCCTCGTTTGGTCCAAGACCTGGGCTTTGTCTGGTTTCCCCAGATGCTTATATTTTTAGAAAGTATATGCCAAACCTCACACAACAGGAATTTGTTGAACAATCCCATGTAAGCAGTGGTCTTTCCAAGGGTACATTTTTCAACCTTTTTTCAAGCTAAATGTTTTTCTTGGATCTTAGTTTTATTGCTTGGGGTTTTTGTTCTATCAAATAAAATCTAGAATAGGCAAATTATTTCCTGCATCAGTATTTAGGCAGCAACAGAAAAGATAAAACACTGTCTTTTTTCTTTACTAGTTCATAAATTCTTTCTGTAAAATTGATTACAGAATAAGTCAGTAATCTAAACACTCTAAAGTTTGTTTTAAGAAATGCAAATGTTGGTGAGAAATTGAACTAAAATAGAAGTAATCTTTCTTACACAACATTAAATTAAGTCTTTAGGCAGTTTCTAATCAAGCACCTGACTTGTATGACAGAGTTAATATACTTCGGTCACCCTAGTATTTATTTTTCACTAAACCTTTGTTTTATTTATATTTCTCCTTTGATGCCATCTATCCTTTACCCTTTCTGCATTTCCTGACCCCCATTTCATATTCTTTCTTTCACTTCACAACATCCTTCTCTCAGCTAAGAAGGTATTTTCCAAAATTTCCGCCAACCAAAAGAGATAAAACTAATGTGAGAGTAACATGGACTTGAGGCAGTACTATCGCAGTGCCTCTACTGTGCAATTTGTCCCTTTGGTCCAGTGAAAGAGAGGTCATTATTCACACATATTCACACACACTTGGTGATCATACAATACTGTTAATCCAGCTCAAGTGGGATGTTGTGTCCCAGGACAGCAGCCACATTATGCCATTTGCTTTTATAAACATACATACTCTACTTTAAAAAAATAATATTTTTAATTGTAAGATAAGGGCAGCCTCATGCCAAAATTATTCCTTCAGGAAAACGTAATTATGTTTTTAACCCATATATAGTAATGCTTAACTGTGACAGTTCTTGACCTTCCTCTAATGGTGCCTGGAGACATTGGCAGAGTTACCTATGGCTTGACCTCCTCTGGCAGCTCATGTTTTCTCAAAATCATCTAAGTAGACACATGCAGAATATTTAATAAGAATTTAACATTGAAACAATCCAGTTTTACAAGTGAGATAAAAACAGATGTGTCTTAAAATCTTCTAAGAATCTGTTACAGTATCAATGTGATGCTCGTCTAACTTGATCCTGCCTACTACAGTGAAAATATATCCTGCAACTACAAGGTTAAAAAAATTGTAGGACAAGTAAAGTAGGAGAAGAAGGTTCTGCATTAAATAATTGCACATTACTAATTACCCAGGCACAGACTATGGTCATCTCCCTTTGCTTTTGCTGTTTTTTGGTTTTGCCTACACATATATTATTTCCAAAATGGATAGGGCTACTTTAAGTGATTATTCCAAGTTGTGATTTCTCTGTAAATGAGATGAGACGGTCTTAAAAATTCATCCTGCTAAATTATGCACGTACAACCCATTTCTCCTTCTACTGGTATGGAAGGAGGCCTTTGCAGGTTAAAGGAGGCAGACAAAAGCTACACTGTGCCATCACTTGCAAGTTCTGCCTTTCTTCAACCTGCAGGTGCTGTTGAAGGCACCATCCAAGATGTGCTTGAGGCTGCTAGCCAAATATTGGTCCCATTATATCAATATAATATACCATATTCAGAGGTTGGAAAAATCTACCAGAAAGTATGAAAAGTGAGGAGTTTCATCCTTCTCATTCAGAGTGTGCCTTCTTTTCACAGCTGAAATCCACTGTCTTCCTGTTTCCAAGGGACCACATTGCAGTAGAGACCTTAACATTCAGAAGGCTTGGAATTGCTAAATTCAGATTTGTTGTTCTTGTTGGCAGAACCCTCAAGGTTAGCACAGTGTGTTAAAATGAGACTATACCTGCAAATGACCTAGTTCCATACAGCCTGGTGGAACTTCCTTCCTTTGTACCTAGGGTTGACCGTGGGTCCTGGTCTGGGGCTTAGTTCGTGTTTTGTGTATTTATAACTAGAATTTGGGGATCTGCCACTTGAGAATTTGTCCTTCTGCCTATTCTGTTTTTCCCTCAGTTGCAGTTGTTTTTACTGCAACTCTAAGAATTTAGTGAAGACAGTTGCTAATCAAACATTCTCTATGTCTTGTTCTTGAATTTTGAATTCTCTTCCCATCTCAGCTGAAACTTTCTTACCATCCTACATGTTTTATGTATTGTGTTGTGCTTTTTGCTGGAAAGAAACATACAGGAGGATATTGTTGAGGTTTGATTCTGTGAATGCTTTTTTCAACTGCAAGTAGAGTAAAGCTTGTTTTATTTCATATGTGACTGAATCTGTCATGTATGAAAGGGGTGGTAGAACAGCAAGTGCCTTTTTATGTGTAATTGGTAAATAAGAAAACTGGCAAACAATTCTGAATAGCATCACTGAAATTGGAAGAACATAGCTAAATTACTTGATGTCTCCTGAGTATGATTCAGAGACTTGTTTTCTGAGAAACATCCTTTCTTGAAGAGTAAAAGCCTTTTCTGTTTTTCTATTTTTTTTTGCATTCTCTCCCTTCAGTCAAAGAGTTTTTGAGTAGGCACACTTAGTTCATGCACACTCTGTGAGAGGGAGCTCACAAGGAACTGGCAGAGCATTCACAGACTTGCAGTGCTTGCTGCAGACCATACATGGACTTTCAGGATCGAGGTCATGGGATAAGATGGGAAAAGCCTATTGGCTTTATTTAGCATGGCTTGAAAAGGTCACAGTTTGTATTGAATTGTTAAATCTAGAGAGTGCTAAGAAAACCAGAGTGCTTGCCAGTACTACCAGAAAATTCTGCCAATGAGTGTATGGAGTTGGTTGTCAAGGAGCAGAAAAGAGCCAGAAATGTGTTGCTCCTTGTAACAAGAATGACCTCATGGTAACTAATATCAGAGCCTAATATGTCCCTAAAATAAACTGAGACAAATACGTTTATTTTAAATAGTTTTCTTTTTCCCTCTACTTTTGCACACTTCAGGATGCCAAAAAAACAGACCCTAAGAATTTGACTCCACTGCTGTAGTCATGCTGGGCTGCATGTTTGGGAGCAAAAGACTTGATCTGCTCTCTTATTGCTATCTCAAATCCACTAGGAGCTGCTCTATATGTGCCAAGCTTGGAGTTGATTCATTCTTTCATTCTTTTATAAAACTATTTAAAGAGCTTTTAAACTTTCATTCGAAAATAAAGTTTCTCTTGAAGTGACTTTAGGAGGGTTCTGTAGATTCACTAAGGGAAAGCATTTAAATGGGGTAATTGCTGAACTCTTCTTGAACAAATTTAAGAAAGGAATGTACACGGAGGATTTGGAATGAGTTTGAGATTGATTCTATCAGGCTTGCTGTAGGATTTCCACTAGTGATTCTCCATAGAAGGAGAGGAAGATCGGAAGGAGCAGATGTTGGCACAGACTGCTAGGACAAACCTTGACATTCAGAAGAGAGGGATGGTGGGTTAGAGTGTGAAGCTTGGTGAGAATTGACAGTCATATTGATAAAGAAGGGCAGGATTGAGAAACTAGAAGGATTTTTGAGGTTGGTGGTGCCAATGGAGCAGGAGAGACACAACATGGCTTTGCTAGGCTGTGCTAAGGGTTTATATGTAGGAATGGTGTCATGCACGCTTTTGGAAGTGAGCACTGGGGATACTGGGGATAAAAGTTCAATAAAGATCAGAAGAGTGGGTGGTTAGAGAAAAAAACCCGAAAAAACAAAAATGTAAAATGTCCTGGGGGCAAGTAAAATAAATGAATTAAAATCGTAGGTTAAAAGAGAAGTGGATAAGGAAACGTGCAGCTCACAGGTCAGCAGCTTCAAAGCTGAAGTCATGCAAGTGGAGAATGCTGGGAGAGGGAGAGAGAAACAGACTTTGAAATCAGAGTGGAAGGCTGATGCAGAAGTGGATGACAGATGAGACAATGCAGAGGAGGAGAAAAGAGTTGGAGCTGGAGCTGCCCAGAGCAGGAAAGAGTAGGAAGAAACAGAAGCATCAGAAATAGGCCAGGGGTTGATTAGTGTCCCCTGTACCTGACCCAGAAGGAGGGTGGGAGGGCAGAAGTGCTTTCAGCAAGAGAAGGCTGTATGGATCCCCAGCCTGTTAGGTCTGACATAGCCATTATGGACTGTTACTTTCTGGCTTGCCTCCACCTCCACATCCTCAAATGTTTCAGTCAAAGCAACAGCACAATCACAGATGACATGCATGGGGAATATGTTCTCACTTCCTTGTGCAGCTCCTTAAAATATAGCTTAAGAAGGCATAGCAACCATTACTATATTTAAAATGAAAAATTATTTATCAAAATAGATGACTGCCAGCGATGACAGCTCTTTGCAGTGAATTTGCTATGTTTCTGTCATTGTAGCTACCTGTACATAAACACAAATTTCTGCTAAGCTTTGTTCATCACAGAGGATGCTGGCACCATGTCATGCTGAGTATGTTTTGGATGTGACATTATTTGCAGCTACAGTTTCTTAGGACTTGTCTACTTCTGACTGCATAAGCCACTACACACCAGTAGGAGTGTCCTGTGACCCACGTACTGTTCTCACTCGGATGAATGGAGAAGAATCCAGCATTAAGAAAATGGAACAAGAGGGACGATCGCTGTTATTTCCTAAATGACAACTGTTTAGTGAACTTACTTTTTAGTCTTTCAAATTTTTAAACTATGTACATTCCTGATGTAGGTGTGTTAGGTCTGGCTGGCTGTTAATATAAGAAGCCCAGCATCTTAATATAGCCGAGATCTTAAGAATTCTGATTAGATGCAGAAAAAACTCTCCTGTGTTTTTGGGGGGAGTTATGAAGATATGCCTTACGTCAATCAATATTAGATTTAGTGTGGGTCATTGTGCTCCTATCCCTGAAAGCACAAGATTGGTCCTACACTACAACCACAAATTATTTGTTTGTTTGTTTTGAATGTCTCACCTGCTGTAAATCCATCACCTCGTTTGGAAGACATTCCACATTTTAATAGCTCTGGGTAAAGTTATCACTCTTTGTAGAAAAGGAAGAGAATGATGCTGGAAAAGATCATTAAATGAAGGTGTAGAAAATTCCCGTGTTCTGTTGTTTGAGTAGCCACTGGGAACTGGTCTGTGATTTATCTGGAACCAAGGATTCAGCCTTCCTTTGTGCCAGTTACTGGAAATATGAAGAGCAATGAAGATCTGGGATAGGATTTTCTGCTGCAAGAAGTAACCAGAAAGGAACTGCCATTCGTAGAAGAGAATTGTCATATACCCAGGCTCCAGGTGTAGCTAATGTCAGATGCTTCAGGAGAGTTTAGCAGACCATTATGAAACAGCAAGCCTTCAAGGGGAGTTTTCTTCCAAAACTTATGTCAAAATGTAGATGCTTAGATCCTTTGGTCTTGATGGTTTATGTACTTTTGTACTCTTTGAACTTAGGTATAATTGTGCTCATTCTTATTGCTTGTGCAATCTCTTCATTTCAGAAACTTGCTAGAGTTGTATGATAGGGCTTAGAGGAGTGGACTAAGTAGGCTTCCAGACTTTCATACTTCAAAACTTTTTTGTATATCTATATTTCAGTTATGTATCACTGAAAGGTAGGGTAGAGCATTCCAGAGATTAATTACGTATCATTCAGAAAGATATTTCCATTATCAGATTTGAATTTCTTGTCTCTGAGTTGTATTGAGGTGATTCTTCTGTCACAAGGAAGAGAACTGGGAGCTCTTCACCCATTTTATGTCATGCATTGTTATTTTTTGTGCTTTCATTTGCTGATCTTGAGAAGTTACATAGCCCCTCATCTAACAGCCCCTTTTTCCAGAACTCATAGGACTGGTCGTTGATGACTACAGATTATGATGAAGGACTCAAACTGGGCAGAAAATGGGTGGAGGCTCTCTTTGAGAGTTCAGACCACAAAGTGCTGCTGAGTGTGACAGCTGAGAGCAGCCACCATGAAGGAGCAGCTGTCTCCTGCAACATCTCTCATTAAAAAATTTATGAGGTGTCATGGTTATTATCTGCCATTTTACTCACTTGTTGAGCTTGATTCTACCAGGACTAAGGTCTTGCACATGCTTTTGTTAGAGCTGTATTATTTAAACTCAGTACACATGAACCACAACATACTAACAAATTTTTGTGCTTAGTTTTCCTCGTTAATAAAAGATCTATATCCATAGAATAAACGTATGTTCCCTCCATAGTTTTCATTTTCTCCTAATTACTTTGGTAGGAGAGGTATACAACAACTACTGTACAGTAGAAGTGAAAACCAGCTACAAAGTCACATTTTTTGACAGATTTGTTAAAAACAAGCAATACTGTGCATTTTCAAATAGCTTTTTCTGATTTCTACACCAACTGGTTGAAAATTTCTAAAAACAACCTTTTTTTTTAACAGACATTTTAATTTGGATACAATGTGTGAATATTTCCATTCCTTCTCTTTTTACTGTTTCTAACAAATGGCTAGATGAACTCCATGACCTGTAACACACTTACCTTTTAAAATAGACAGTTATGCCTACATACCTCTTCCAAATCACTGGGAGGTTCAGGTTAATTTTATCTTCTGAGAAGTAGCCAGTCCAGTTTTAGTTTAAACTTCTTCTCCTCAGTTTATTTCTATCTAAATGACACATTTTTTTACACCTGTTCAATAACAAACCCTTCAATTTGATCTAGATTTGCACTCCTAAGTAAATCTTAATGCATGCTTCCCTGTGCTTAACTAATAATGAGGTTGGATAAGAGTAATGGCTACTGGAATTGCAGCACTGAAGGCATTCATTAGCATTGGCAATCAGCACTCTTGTGTGGAAGCTTTATGCGCATGGTTGATCAGCCCTTTATAGTGCAGCCTCCAGGCCGCCTGTATTCCAGCAGGAGTGAACCCACTGAGAAAGGCCACCAGGTGAGGTTTCCATGGCAGCAGTCGTCCCTTTGCTGCTCCTGCTTGTAGTACAGACAATGCTGGAGCTGTCAGTGTGTCACTGCTCAGTGGAGAGAAGGCTAGTATTACTCCACCCCAGTGTACCCAGCACAGTGGTATGGCTCATTTTTAGGAGGATCAGGTGGGTTTGTGACTGTTGTCTCCAGAGTGGTGCTTGGTCCCTCTGGTGCTCAAAGCAGTTCTGACTGTGGCCATCCTAGGGACAGGCAAACAACAGCTACACTGAAGGCACAAGAAGTATCACCTCTCGGGGAGTAGGCTCCTCTGCTGGGAAGCGGGGAGCAGACTGTGTGAGCTGTCCACAAAGCCTGAACTAACCAGAGATTACTGACATGTAGGAGCTCATCAGTGACTTATTGGTTGGGTTTAGAAAATGCTTCCTCTCTCTAGCATAAATGTGTTCTAGTAAAAGCCACTTCTACTTGGTCCATGAAGTTGTCTACATAGATTCCGTTTAGAAGGTCCCTTGAAAAGTCCCTCTGTAAAGGTACTTTATAATCCTGGGAAGTTCCATCACACCAGAGAAAATAAGTGAAAAAGAGGCTGGCTCTTTTTCAGTCTTTTTCCTTGGAGCTTGTTTTTCACAGAATGATTACTAGAAAAAAAGCAAATGAAAACTGAAAAAAGCAAATGAAACTGAAAATTGTTAGGTGATAATAGACATTCCCTGCTAAGCCAGCCTGGTAGTAGGGGACATCCCACTACCTTCTACCCAACTGTCTCATCTTTTTCTTTCATCAAAAGGATCATGGTGTCCCCTGTTACCATGGGTTACGCAGGAACCCTTCATTTTTTCATAGATAATTTTATCTTGTCAGGTTAATTCTGTCACAGAAGAATACTGGGAAAAATAACTGTAAAGTACAGAGATAATTTCCCATATGTGAACTGATTTGGAGAAAGGGAGTTTAATTGCATTTAGATCATGCAGATTAATTTACTGTGACATGTAGTTTCCCAAGTGAAGTGTCCAACTGTTAAGGGTTTGGCTGTAATAAAAACTTTTCCAAGGAGGAGGAAAGCTATGACAACCATGTACATTTCCAGGGTGATTGTTAAACAGGGATTCTGTACTCCCTGTGTGACAGAATTTTGTGGTAACAGTTTTGTGTGGACTTCTCTGTCTCTGCCCTTTTAGGAGCCTTTGACTATTTTGATCAAAAATCTTCCTTAAACAAATAGGAACATGAGCTAGTGAAGCAAATCATGTGGACATGGAAATCCCCATCTATAGCAGTCTGTGCAGCTGTTCTAGCTGTGCTTCACTGTGAGTTTTTCTCTCAGATTTCCAGGTCAAAAATTAAAATATTTACATTCTTGAAGAGAGCCCAGCAAAGCCCCAGCCTGCTTTCACTGAGCACTTTTCCCAGTTAGCTTCTGAGATGTTTGCTCAGTTGTTGGCCAGTATTTGCATTTCTTAACTTCCACCTACTGGAATGTATGGACTCTCTCTGCTCCCTCCGAGTTCACCGCTCACTGTATCAGATCTCAACACAAAAGCGATCCCATCAGAGGATACACAGTCAGAGGTGTTCACTGCAGCCACACACAGCAAAACCACATACCTGGAGTGCTTCTTCAGGCTGCACTGCAATAAAGCTGATAGATTGTCTCTTGAGTTAGTGTACCAACAATGTCTAATGTAGCTGAATGCTAAAAATCTCTGTGTCACCAGAAAACACCATCAATCCTTTCCCTTTACTGTATATTGGCTGTGGGGCTGGGCACTATTTTTGAGGTGTGTTTTTGTTTGGTCGTTAAAAACAATTTTTATCTTACCTAGAGAAAAATTTCTAGATTCCAAATCATAGCAGGTAACTAAAAGAAAAGGAAGACCAATCTAAAACACAGTTGCTGAAGAAATTCTTCTCTCAAAGAGAATCTAAACCCTATGCTTCTGGCAAACCCAAAACTGATTGCCATGTGTAGCAAGGAAAAGCGAAAGAAAAACGCAAATGTGTTTGAAGTGAAAGTAGGATACTGCAGAAACCAGAGAGAGATGGTAGGAGAGCTTGTAGAACCCTGAATGCTTTTAGGATAAAGAGCCTGCTTGGAACAGAGGCTGCTGCAGTTTCCAGCTTTGGCATGGAATAGGGGTTTCCTCGGAAATGTAAGTGAGCGAGGAAATACCTGCCCTACATCAGAAATGAAAACTGGCCAGCTGCTTATAATAAATTGAAAGCAAAACAGTAAGAAGGTGGGAAATCAGTCATGGTTTCATCATTTGTGATGTCTGTTCAGGATGGATGGATGTCATCCAGATGCTCCAGTTCAGCTGCAACATGCAGGCCTTTCAAGTAATTGCTTTTTGGGTTACAGCAGCTAAGCCTACAGGCCAAGCTGCTTTTTTAAAACAGGGCTGTAAGAGTCATTGCTTGTTATTTTTGTTTTGTTTCAGGGTGTGCTGGATTCACCACGTTACAGGAGTGTGGGTGTACCCACTTCTTGAGCACCTCAGCCCAGGTGTCAAAGTAATCTTTTTTGCAGCTGTTACTGTAGTAATTAACGTATTCTACTTGGTGGGAGAAGTCCTGAACAGCTACATCTGGGATACACAAAAATGTGAGTATTGTTTTAGGGATATTATCTCGTGAAATACACTATCAGGACTTGAGTCTGTTTCTCTGAAATATGTAGAATGTTTTAAGCTGACTAAAACAAAGGAAAATGACAGAAGGTCCACTGAAACATCTTGCTTGCCTGCCCTTAAGAACAGACGGATGAACAGAATGGCTGCTGGAGAGCCTGATGAGCTATGAATATGTATTCTCTTTTATAACTTACACTACAAATTTAAGAGCTCTTGGCAATTACCTGAGATATTTACAACCGACTTATTAGCTGATGAACCTATTAAATGTACCTAGAACAAAGTACCATTCTGTGGGAATGCTGTTAATGGTAAGCTTAGACTCAGAAATGAAAATATACTCTTTTAGTATTTTTAGGTATAAGGTATTTCCTCGCCATATAAATTTACTCAGGGAAAATGAACATGTTCTTGTCAGTGAAATAACAGGAATGAAAGATCACTTTAGTGCAGGGTAAACTTGACTGTGCAGTCTACATCATCTATCGTGCCTAGCCCACCCATTGCTGAGGAGAGGAAAAGGGAAAATAAGACAAATACAAGATTAAAAGTGGGTTCCTTTTATCTATGAAAGATGTCTTTCATTTATCAAATTGAATGAAATAAGCAAACAACATTCATAATAGCTGCTGTGGCAAATCACAACTGGAGAGAAATAAATTCACATGGTAGTTAATGGCACACACAACTCTCTTTAACAAGTCCTTCTATACCAGGTAGAATTTAATGCTAGAAGCTCAAAGTAGTTTTACTTTCTGTTTGCTCATATTAGCATCCAGGTGTAAAATGCCTTTTTGTTTTTGTTCTAGGATTGTCTGTCACTGGTCATAGTGTTCAAGATGGGTATTCAGTCCTCAGTTTGATGTCAAATTCACATTTATTTAACTTCTTTAAGTTAATTCAAGAAAGATGTTTCTAAAAAAGGCAGCTGCAAGGAATAATTTCACTTGAATTAAGTCCTGTATGAAGAATAATAGTGTGGTAAAGAATCACATATACTTAGAAAGTCCAGGAATAAGTAGATGGTGGAAAATCTCCTGCACTATTCCAAAGTATGCATAACAAAATCTCTGCTCCTTGCAGCCCTGCTCCCTAGAGGAGCTAACTCAGTTGGGTCATTCTCCCAACATTTTTCAAGGTTTACCCTTTGGGCATTATTTTCCTCTTCATCATTTCCTTCATGTAGATAAGGAATATTGATCCCAAGTCCTTTGTGGCTCAAGCACTTGCAAAACAGAAAATGCTGTGAGTCACCTGCTGGTTTGCTGAGCTTGAAACACTTTGTACAAACTTAACCCAAAGCATGTGGCAGGAGCACCACAAACAGCAGAGATGTAAAATTATGCCAGTCTGTCACCATGCGAGACCTGGGAAAATATTATTTGAAAACTGTACGCTTAAAAGGGGCTTTTGAGCAGTAAGACTGCAAATCAAAACAGTCTGCCATAAGAAGATTTCTGGGGTGAGAAGGGGTTGTTTTGGGTTTGGAGTTTTTTTATTTGTCTCTGGAGATGCATTAAATAGAACCTCACTACTGACAAAATGATTTGCAGTTAGTTTTTCCAAGTTAAACCACAAACATGGTAGGGAAGGAAAAATTTGCCCTTTGTACAAGCCAGTGTCTGTCCACAATTTTGAGGATATCTGCATTCCTGCCAAACTATTTGATGCATCTGCAGTAGAGTGCTTCAGAAGAAAGGAAAGAGGTGCTTTCAAAAAGGCAAATAAAACAGCTTTTAAAATTATTGGAAAAGTTCCTTCTAGAGAAAGCAGAAGACTTAAGATTGGCTCTGGAGCAACACTGTAAACTGTCTGTAATCTTTTGGTCCCGGTCTCTTGTTTTGGTTGTTAAACCTTTAACTGTGGTTCTCCCATTACACTGGTGTGCCAGCAACACCCAGGGCCATTGTACTTGGGCTTCTGGCAACACACAGACCCATTTGTCTTGGTGTTGTTTCTTTCAGCAAGGCAGCTCTGCAGTTGTGCTTTCTAACTGCCGATGAGTCTTAGTGTTTCCCGTATTGGAATTCATTAACTATGTTTTTGAAGTGATTTATGGTGTACTTACCACCTATGCATATATTGCACTAGCAGGTAGGTGATCTTACTTGTGACTAGATTTTCCTCTCAGCATTTTCAAGCATTGCTTCTTTTTTTGGTTATCATAAGTCTTTCTTTTCCAGAATGCAGCAGGCCTGAAAAACTCCAAAAGAAATATTTGTATTTGAGATGTCTGGCAGAGAGGGCTTAGTCAGAAGAACAATACTTTTGTCAGATACCAGTAGTAATTCATTGTCCAGGAACAGGCATATGAAATAGCTGAATGTTTCCATTGCCAGAAAAAACACAGTCTGCCGCCCAGCCCAGGCTTTGCTCACCATAGAAAAGAGGCGAGTCCTGCAGCTAGAATAAGTTCTTTAAGGAGCCCTACACTCAGCTCAGCTCTCCTGATACTACTGAAAGAAATGGCGATTACAAGAAGAGAGAGGCATCCTCTCAGTAGTAATTGTTTATTCATTCTTGTACTTTCAAAAAAGGGAGACGTACCTGCAAATACTTAAAAATCCAATGTTGAAATGGAGAGAAGCTTCAAATTACTGAATTCTGAAACATAATTATTAATTTTTTTTTCCAAACAAAGTTGATTGCTTAGATTCAGCTGTAGTAACATCTGTTTTAGTTTACTCGTAGGTAAGCAGAGCAGGTGAGGGAGCTAAGTGTACCCACACCCCTGCAGCTGTCAAAGGCCAGGCGTGCAGTAGGAGATCAGGCTAATCTGAAAATGGGAGTGAGGGAGGGAGGATTATGCAGTTCATTACTGGACAACCACTGCCATCAGGTGTGCAGATGCTCTTTTCCTTCACAGCAGGTGAGGTAACACATGCGAGCAAGTTCAGGAGAAACAGCATCAATAAGGGGAAAAGAAAGATTAATGCATTAGAGGAATCTCTCTAAGCAAACCCTTCAGTTGTGTTATTGAGAGATTTTTAAAAGCTGCTCTCCATATGTTTTCAGGTATTGAAGAAGGAAAAGAAAAGCCGAAATTGGAGTGAGGAATAAGAGGCAACACAGAGGATTGTTTATGGCTCCATGGAAGATTTCTCATCCCCAACAGAGCTTGGCCTGGAGAGGAATCTTTTGGAAAGGAGGAAGTTTCATGGGCCCACTTCTCAGTGCAAGGATATTTTTGGATTTTATATGGAAGGAAAATGATTTTAGCTAAGAATAATATTAATGTTTCAACCTTCAGTTTCTCCATGCTTGCATGTGACATACACATATAAGATGTACATTTACCTCCAAGGCATTCTCAATGTTCATTTCTTGAATCAAATAAGTCATTAAACCATTAAGTCATTAGATCTTTTTACTTCTGCCAAGAAGAACAATGAGTCCATTCTCTGTATTGTTTGAGAAAAGCTTAATCAGATAGGTCGAATACAGGGAAACAAAGCAATCCTATATATTTCAAATTCCAGCATAGAAGTTAATTGCATGAATGTATCTAAAGAAGAGTTCAGTCTGACTGAAATATTAATGTAACACTATGTAACAGTTGCCTTAAATTCGTTATGTTAATAATTTTACCAGTCCAGTGGAATCTTACTTGCAGTGTTAAGACCTAAATAAAGATGAAATTATCCTTGCCTTTCTGTTTCTTCATGCTGATTCTTGAGATTTTAGATGGATCTATGGCATTTGAATGATACATTTTCAGGTTTTCCAGGTTTTTTTTTTCAGCTGTAGATTATATCATTCCTACATGAGGATTTTTCTTCTTATTTTCATAGTAAAATAACAGATCCTCATTTTCAAGTTCTAGGTTCTCAACAGGTGGGCTGAGCTGTCCGTGTTGTACAAGAGAGAGCATTTAAGTCTTACTTGAGGCAGGCACTTAAGCAAATGTTTAAAGTTAAGCATATGCCTGTTTGTATAAGGAATTAAATTGCAAAATACTAGTGATAGTTTAAGTTTGACATGATTCTGTTTAATTATTAGACAATCAAGAAGTAACTAGTAGGCAGAAAAAATTGTCTAGAACTAAAATAAAGTGAATAGAATAATTTTTAGCAAGATAATATTTATTAAAAAGTAGCTTTATGACCCAAGTATTGGTATTCATATCACATATTTATTCATTAGTGTATTTAGTAATTTATTTTAACACATGCAGAGCACTTTGAGTATGTATAGTGTTCATGTGTTATTTTTAGTAACAAGATTTCTGCAGAGCTTTGGTACAGTTTAACAGTGTTTCTGCTCTGGAATAACTCTGGGGAAAACTGATCTCATGCGACTCATTTCATACCTCCACAGTACTTTTTAGATGTATTTATGTACACACTATCCTATGAAACAGCACAAGTTCAACAATGTGTTTTTGGTTTGTGTCTTTCAAAAATAAGACTTGGTAATGATATTGTCTTCGTCTATCCATCCACTAGATTATTTTTGACTTGCTGATCAAGAGTTGCAAAGATTTCAAAGCTAAGAAAATTACTAGAAATTTCATGGAAATAAGTGAAGAAATAATGAAGAAGGAGCTCCTCTAATGATCCTACAGAGGGAGAGGACAGGACACACAAAACCAGTAGAATTTGGAAGCAAATGGCCATAGCCATGTGGCTTTGCATTAGAGATGTTATGTTCTGCTGTTCCTGAACTCCCCATTACATGTGCATGATGTTATTTGAAACAGGCTTTTAAAACTCGGGAAGGAAAGAAGGCATGGATTCAGTCATGTTTAGTGAGCTAGGAACTGTTTAAAGTCACTGCTTCTGAAAGCTGTGGTAGCACATGAAAGTAGTGGTGGACCATGAATGTTCTGGGGGATCTGGCTGTACTTTCCAACAGCAGCAACTGTAGCTTAGGGCAGGAAGCCTGATGCAGAAATCCTGTTGACTTTTTGTCATATGAAGAATTTGTATAACCTATGCTCTGCTGTTCAGTCTAGGGCATTTTTTTTTTTTTTTTTAGATTTTATTTCACAGGTATTGTTTCCTTCACAGAATTCAAGAATTCATTCTGATGGGAAGAATGTGTTAAATAAAAATAAGAAGTGCCAAAATGCCACACGGCTGTACCCATTCTGCTAGAACACACTCTGATCATGTCTGCTGTGTATACGGCACCACTGAGTACTGAATGTCTGAGATCTCAAAAACTGACATCGATGGAAAGATTCCTGCTTCTTGGCAAGTTTTTCACCTGCTCGAGATAGGTTTTTCTTCTAATACCATGTCATTGTATGCAATATAGGAAATGTAGTAAGACTGTAAAGAGAACAGAAATGTCAGAGATCAAAATTGCATAGATGAATCCACAGGTAGGTGTCCAAGTGAAAGAAGGCTCTCTTTCAGAGGTATAGCATAGGCATGCTTAAAGTTGTCATCCCTCATATCTGTGAATTTGTGAATATTCAGCACCTCAGAAAAATAGATGCCAAGCTTAGATCTCAGTTAAGCCCCTGAGGTTGGCCATGTTAGCCAAAGGCAATATATGTGACACAAAATGTGGTGGGTTCCATTTGGTTTAAGAAAATTTATAGTATTCCAAGAAGGTTTGAACTCAATTTGTCTTCTCACATCTCAGAAAGTTCTCCACCTCCTGTGAGCTTTGAATCATCGTACTTAAAGTCAAAAACATTTTAGAGCATTAAATCCAGCCTCTGATGTATGAACCCTGATATAAATAACTTGGGGGCCTGTGTACCCAGAGAGCACTCTTCTAGACTGTGTTCATTCCCTTTAGGATTACACAATCCATCATTCTTAAGAAAAATGATGGATGAATGATGACTAAAATAAAAGTCACTTGTAAACTTGCCAAATTTTAACCATCTTGGCTGAAATTGCCCCTGAAAGGTATTTCTCTTGGGGGAACTGGTTTTTTTGGTGGAAAGCTTTTTGTCAGAAAAAGTCATTTATTTCCAAGTGCAAGTCAATGAAAAAAAAAAGTATGGAAAACTTTTCTCTACTTTTGCTGTGGAACTCAGTCTGAAGACAACATTTATGTTTGTAGCATTTCTGAATTTGTGGGGAATATCTATTTGTCTTTGTCCAGATCTTAGGAAAAAAAAATAAACTTTCATTTCCCTGTAGTGCACAGATAATTCTCCAGAGTGTTTATCAACTTTGGGAATAATCCATCTTGTGGCTGAATGGGATTTTCCCTGCCATCCCTGATCTGTTGATCCTCTCTATGCCTTGACTACCCAAGACACAGGTCAGAATGGGGAAGCCACTTTGCTTCGCATGTATTGTCAATACCTCCCCAGAGCTGCATAGAAGTGTAAGGGAAGCAAAGCTTCGATGACAACCCAAGCAATGAGAATAGGTTCTAGATGGATGAACTAAATGCAAAAAAATTCTAGCTTTTCCCTCGAGGACTGCAATTAAGTGAAATTAGTAGTGTTTGTTCTGTCGTAGCTGTAATGATAACCACACAGAGAACTCTGTGAAGGAGTCATTAGTTTTGTTGTCAGAGAAGAGGACAGTGTGCAGTAAATAAGGGAGGGTACCACACCTTGAACCAGGAGAAAAAAACAAAATACAGTTTCATCATTCAGTGAGCACCATCTATCAAATATTACGAATGAGGCACAGGAAAAAATACTGTGTGATCATCTAATTAAAGGCAGTATCGTAATTCATGCTCACAAGAGGCCAAATTAAGGTTGTACAGACGGCCTAAATGCTGACATTACCTCACTCTTCGATACCCAACTTCTCAAACTTAGTAATCTCTTTTTTTAGTAATAGAACAAAAAAGAGTGGCTTAGAAACAAAGGCTGGTTAGAAAGTCTAGCCACCATGTTGTCATGAATTTCATTGTGGTTATGTCCCCTATTTGGCTTTAGAAAGCTCATCCTTACTTTTTGCCTGCATATAGCTGCCCCATAGTTCTCATACCACTCTGTTACAAAGGCTTTGCCATAATTTGCAAACTTGTGCCACAATTTCAACATTAAATTATTTCAGTCTGTGATTTGGCTTGTGTAGGATAAAACTGTAATTTGCTGTCTTTGCGTAGCAACCATTGCTTTATTTTGAAGGAAAATGACAAATATTTTCTCTAATTTTGCCTAGTCTTTGCTTCTCTGCCCATGGGAGTAATATTAGCAAAATCACCACCAGTGCACGTCAAAGCCACTTGGACACTGAGTAGACTGACAAATGGCTCACCATTCTGCAGGCTCCAGGGGGCAGTTTGTAGTAGCAGTGTATAAAGCAGGCACTTCACAGTTCATTTTTCCTGTTGAATTTGCTTTTCAAAGACTACTTCAAATCCTAACAACAATTTATTCTTTGCCTTTTATTTTCCATAAGGATTGGTCAGTCTGCTGTGATTCAGACTTCTGTAGCCTTTGAAGACTCAGACACCATTAGACTGAACACTGAAAAGTTTCATCATCTAAAACATGAGCTGATGTGTAGTCCCAAAGAGACCCTCCAACTGAGGCTTGCATCAACAAGGCAGGTTTGGTGTTTCTGTCCTGGGAGTAAAGGGGCAAGCAGTAGGAGACGTGTAGGTGAGGTCACCTCTGAATGCAGGCTTGGAGAAATGCTACTAATCCTATCTTTTCATGCTCTCTGTTTTCATGTGGGTAGGGTCAAGCGTTGGTGACAGGTGTCTTCTGTCTGCAGCAGCATGAGAAAGCTCCTGATCAAAGCCTGGTGCATCCTAGTAGAGGAGATCCTCTCCACTAGGGTACCCCAGGTGCTCTGCTCCTGTGTTTCAGAGCTTCACCTGCTGCTGTGGCCAGCTGGTTAAACTGGGGTCCCAGGTGTTGCTGGGAAGGACAGAAACCTGGGAGTTTGACTACTGCCAGAGTCACAGGGGAAAAAACCAGCTAGAGGTTTGGCTGTGGCAATGATCCCTGTCTCCTCTTTTTAAAGCAAGAACAAAGGGAGAATGAAACTAAACTGTAAAAGGATGTAGCTGTTGAGATCTGTTTAGAAAAGTTCTTGGGTGCATCCTGAGCTCACAGCACACACACACAGGTGCTTCTGATTGCAGGGGCTTTGCTGAATGAGGGGACAAGTGGACTGGCAGGTGGGGCATTTTGTGTAGTGCTTCTAATGATGTAATGACTGGGGTTTGGGTTTAGAATTAAAAAGTGCATTTTGAGCATAGCTACTTCCTCTTGCTTGTATTATTTAAGTAACCAAGAAGAACAGAACTGCCCAATTTGCAGACCACAAACATGAAATATATTTAGTGTATATTCTCCGAAATGAGCAGTTTTATTTTTATCAAAAATGCACTCTGTTTTGTTCAAGTAACAGATGGAAATCAATGGGTTTTAATGTAACCCAGAAGAGCAAGTTGTAGTCTTATTCTCTTAAGTGCCCCTTTGTTGTTCAGACCACAGCTGTAAAGGGATTTGAACCTCATCACAATAAATGCCAGTATAGAAATTTGAAAGGTAGGCCACAGACTTTGTGGCCCACTGGAGAAGGTATCTGCTGTTCTTTAGAGCTGTGTAAAATGAGACAGAAATGAAATAGCATCTTTTTCGTGTTATTAATGTTGTAACTAGCCATGGTGTTCAAGTTCAGCATTTTATATATAGCTTGTGTATTAAAAAAAAACATCTCCCGTTAGGCTGGAGAAGTATCTCTGCAGTGTGCATTCTAAATGTAGAGATTGCTGTAGTGCAGTCAATTCTAGGGCAGAATATCTCTTTGCTTTCTGTTATGCAAACAGCCCCCTCTGTATGTATATTGTGTAGATAGAAGTTAAACGCACACATGGACACATACACGTACAGATATGTATACACACAGGATCTTCTTCAGAAACAGATGATGACAGTTGGATGTTAAATGGCAATTACTTACTTAGCATGGAAAAAAATCAGGCACTGTGGAAGGCATCATTCTTGACAGGGGCAGTAATGCCACCATAACTCCAAACTGAAAGCCCCTTGTCCCGCTACTTTTCTCCTGGCAATAATGCTGGTCAGCTGCTGGCCATCCTGCCCACAGCAACAGGGACAGTCTGTGGCTGCAGCACTCTGCAGTTCCTGCATTTCTGCAGGACAAACAGTGCCTGGCTACCTGTCTGCTTATAATTGTCTTAGTTTATTTACTATGTAAAATAAAAT